AATAGATGAGTTGAATAAAAATAGTCGAAAATTCCACCATTGCAAAATCTTAAAAATTTTCTACCGCCAAAAAAATTGTTCAATTTTTTGTTTTTTTTGTAACAAAAAACAATTGCTTTATTTTTGGCGAAAGATTTACCAAAAAAGAAAAATATAGATAAAAATAAGACCTCATTTGACATGCTATGAAGCGATAAAAAGACAATAAATAACCAGGAGGAAAAAATTTGCCGCCCATCGGGAGAAAAAGTTGTTTGGCAGGTTCTCAGTAAATAGAATGGTTTTCGTTATTTTGGTTTTCGCTTTGAATTCTTTTGGTCACTATCTTGTTTTGGTACACATGTCTCGATACACATGTCTCGATACATATTTCTCGATACGCATATCTCGCATATATTAAATGACAAGATCTTATTATAAAGGCGTAGTTAAGCGAGTGGAGAAAGATGCTCCATTCCATTTCAAGATTCACAAACTTTTCCAAATGTTTTTCCTTCTTATGTACGCCTACGCTTCTGTTTGTATGAACATGATTTTTGATGATTCTGTGTTGATGTTCAGAGTGCTATGTTTTAGTTATTTTTTGTGTTTATATTTTTATTAAGATGTGTGTCATTTGGGGGATCTGAGCCAAGCATTGAACATACCAAACGTTTTATTATTGGTTGATTTTTAAAAAATTGTTAGTAAGTTCTAAATGATCTAAATTTCTTTATGAGATTCACAAACTTTAAATTTGACATATTTTACAGCTGTCCGGAAAAATTCATCCAATCTTTGTGTATCTTTTCTAATGACATTAAAAAAAGTTTAAATAAACACTATTCAGTTAAATCTGGAAATTAATCCTACAATATAACGAAATGCCCGCCATAAAGATTTGTTCATTGACAAATATTTAGCGGCTAAGATTATCCATCGACTCAGCAAATCGTCAGCTAAATAGAGACTGATTGATATCCACCGATAAAAAATAAACAGCCAACAATTTCAAAAAGAAAACATGCGTTAGATGTTTACGTGACGTATATTTAATTGAAATAAGTTTAACTCATTTCATTTCATGTGTACTTACTTGTGTGCATCTATAAGTGCAAATACTTTAGTTGTACAGCGTGTACATTTATATAGAGTACAAGTACATTAAAAGGCACTATATTTTGTGTACTGTATTTTATAGGTAAACATATATAAAGTATGTTCACACATTTTTTTTTGAACGCTTATGTGCTTTTGAGATTGCGTACTTCAGCGAAATACGTGCTCTGCTATAATAGAAGCTTTTGGGCGTAAAGTTTATTCATCAACGGTTTTTCAATTTAACGATGCCACAGTTTAACGAGTGCTGTCAATATATCGGTTCGAGGTTTTTGTTTTTGCTTAGCTATTGCTGCTGTGGCAGCTGTTGTAGCTGCTGTTGTAACTACTGTTGTAGAAAATAATGCGTTGTTAACATTGTTTTATTGTTGTTTTAACCAATAGAATTGCTCGTTGAGGTTGTTGCTGATGTTGAATTTGTTAATAATGCTTTCATCTCATATTAAAAAATTTTAAAATTTTGTCTTGATGTCATTTTTCAAAATTTTGAAGCAATTATTGGTATTATTTATAATTTTCAGATTTATTTTTCATCAATTTTGCAATGTTGTTGCCATGTATGTTGGAAAATGTTTTTCAAAATGGTTTTGATTAAAAATGTAACCTGAACTGAGCTGGCAAACAACATCCATGCACCTAACACCTAATTCATATCGGATGGCAAATAAATTCTTAACGTAAATAAACGTTGTTTTTTTTTATAAATATATAAAACCAGCAAAAACAAATTCAACAGACACAAAACAAACATACAATTGAACAACATTTCTCCAAAAATGACAAAAATTATTAAAATATTTCAAAATTGTGGTAATGTAAAAAAAGTCATGACCACGCACAGTCAAATGAGAGTAATGAAGGTTTATTATGAGAGTGTGTTATTGTTATTTTAAATTATAAATCGCTTGGACGAGGATTCAAACAAACGTATATGGATACAAACATACCTGCATACATACATGCATACATACATACATACATACATACATACATACATACATACATACATACATACATACATACATACATACATACATACATACACACACACATACATACATACATACATACATACATACATACATACATACATACATACATACACATACATACATACATACATACATACATACACACACACATACATACATACATACACACACATACATACATACATACATACATACACATGCATACATGTTAGTCACACAAATATTTGTGTATTCAAACTAAAATGCAAAGATAATAACAATGAGTAGTTGCTTAGTTCCACTGAGCTTCATTAATTTTTATTTTCAACATCAACACTTGCAAAAGATGCAATGATGTGATAATGTAATGAAGTGATGATGTGATAATCTAATGATGTTATGATGTTATAATGCGATGATGTGATGATGTGATAATGTAATGATGTTATAATGCGATGATGTGATGATATGCTAATAGGATTTTATTTGTGCCCGGCTATGTTCTGCATTTTGTATGATGCCCAACTCTTAATAAATTATTTTGTTTGTATGCATGCATGCATGCATGCATGTGTAAGCCGCTATGCAAGCTTATAGGTACGCATATACAATGATTTTTTGCTCAGATTCATTCTATATTTGTATCTTTGGATTTACTAATCACATCAATACTAGCTATATTGCTATGGTGTTAATACAAATAGATATATACACATATAGATGATACAAAGACTGCCCAACAGACAGATAGATAATCATCACGATCCAGTCAAACCTTTCATAGTCTAAAGCTCATGGGATCTCATTAGATTCTTACTACTACTACTACTGCTACTACTACTGCTGCTGTTTATGTTGCTGCTGCCACTACTACTACTACTACTACTACTACTACTACTACTACTACTACTACTACTACTACTACTACTACTACTATTTCTATTTTTTGATTTTTTCCAAGCTGACCATGCTTTACTGATAACTGTTTCTGTTTTTTTCTTATTTTCTTTCTTCCTCTCTCTTTCTCTTTTATTCTGTTTAAAGTTATTTAAGTAATTTATGATTTGTTTTTACGGCAGTTTTATGCATTGAGACCCATTCAAAATAATTAATTAATTAGAAATAACCATGAAATGAAGATCTTATCCTGAAGCTCGTTTAAGATCGATGTCACATGATCAAATCTTAGGCCACCAATAGCAAGTTTCGTAGCTCTATTTTGTACAGACTGAAGGATTGTGAGTGATGTGTCTGGTAGCTTTTAAAACAAGCTGTTGCAATAATTTAAACGAGATGTAATGAAGGCACGGACCAGCGTTTTCAATGTTGATCTATCTTGTGATTGCCTGATTCGATACATGCTTCTGTGGTTGATATGACTTGAGGCACAAATCTTATTGATGTGGTCCTTCATCTCCTATTGTACCAGAGTTGAAATCAATCTTCAACAACTGATGCCATGCTCCAATTGGAACATATATATACACAACCCTAACGGAGTGGCACCTACATATCTAGTTGAAAGATTGTCTGTTAAAACACCACAGTTGAAACGTTTGCAATTGAGATCCGACTGCACGAACCTACTAAATGTACCTCGAACTCAGTTAGTGACTGGTGGAAGAAATTTTGCAGTGGCTGGACTCATGGTCTGGAACAGTCTGCCTCCAAGTCTTCGTCCACTGGGACTCTCGCTTTCTGATTTCTGCAAACAATTGAAAGCGCACTTGTTTAAACTACATTTTTATTCTTGTATTTGGCAATCAACTTATTACTATATGTTTTTCATTTTTATTTTTGTTTGTTCTACTTGTAAGTGCTTTTGAAAATTTTTTTGTTTTAAAAAGCGCTGTATAAATTTTTGGTAATGTATATATATATTTATAAAATTGTATATATTAATAATATAAATTTTAAATAATATTTGTAATATAATATATATATATACATATATGTATATATATATATATGTATATTTATGCGCGCACACACACATACATACAAAAACATACACACGGTAATATATACAAACATCTACATGATATATTTTGGAGGTTTTGCAAAAGATTTTAAATCGAAATAAGTACTTTTTCAAGGATGGTGATAATGCTGATGATAAAAATAATGATACTGATTAATATCATGATAATGATGGTGAACATGAAAATGTCGATGGTGATGATGATGGTGAGGATGATGAGGATGATGATGATATGATGATGATAGTTACGACTAAGGAGATGATGAAAATGATGACGATGACAATAACGATGGTAACGATAAAAACCAAAAAAGCGGAAATAAAAGATTGGAAAAGCATTTTTACGTTTGTTTACACAAGGTCATAATGATGTCTTTTTTCCATCTATGCCCGCGTTATGGTAGGCGAATTTATGTGCAATAATGTATGTATATGTCATCTATATGTATGCATTTGTATTGTTATGTGTATGTGTTAAAATATGTATGTGCGTGTGTGTTGGTGTGTTTATGTGTATACATGTGTATGTGTGTACAGGTGTATGTGTGTTCAAGTCCATAAAAAAACGTTTTTTTTTCATATTTGTTTTTTGTCCAAATGCACTATTCAGCATGCTTTTGTATTCATGAACATATAAACTCTTGTTTGTTTAAATTCTGCTCTTTTGACTGTTTATAATAGTCCGATGCATATATTGATGTTTATATACAAATGAAAGAATAAAAAAATATACGTGTAAATACATGCAACCACACATATTCATACGTATGTCTGTCTGTATGTATGTATGTATGTATGTATGTATGTATGTATGTATGTATGTATGTATGTATGTATGTATGTATGTATGTATGTATGTATGTATGTATGTATGTTAAAACCAAAACATGATGAGTGACACTGAACCGTCAAACATCAAGTAACAAATGGATTAACACTTTGATTTGTCGTTAATTGCACATGTCGGCATTCAGTTGGATATTTTCAAGCACACAGACACGCAGGAACCGCTGCAACAAGCACGAAATCTGGTTAGTTGCGAAAAACAGTTCCCTGCTATCGCCTGATCTGACGCTGATCATTTTACATATTGCCTTAAAAAATTTAAGGGTATTGGGGTCCATCGGGCCGAGAACCTCGATGCATATTGGCAAGAATTTCATCGAGGGGAGGGCGTTCCCATACTTTTTCATTTTCTCGTCCGCTGCCCCAGCCGCGGCCAAACCGCATTCTTTACTTGTCAGGTTTACAAATCGTTCGGCAAGGGTGCCAAGGACCGTAACATCCCACGCCAAACATCTGCCGGCTCTCCAAGGTATTAGTGTGCATCCGTCCGGGCGTCTACCATCATGCGCAGAAATGCCGGATGGTTCCTTGAGAACCGGGATTGAAGCCTTGGAGAAGAGCTGACAAATGTATTCGTTTAGCGCTGAGTGACGTAGTTGACGGCCCCCACCCAGGCGACAAACCAAACCGTGGTGCCCAAACTCGTCCGCCCCAGCGCCACATCGGCACGTGTATTTATTTTGAATGACCAGGCCAAGTCTGAAGCCAATGGCAAATTTCACAGACTCGCCAGCTAAACCACGCTAAGCAACCCCAGCCCACCAAATCGCACCGGCAGCTGAGCCTGGGACCAACCACTGTCGGTCACTTGAACATTGCAAATCGACGACAGGGCGGTGCGCAGGGCTCCGTCAAATTCGCCCAATTTAGAAGGGTCAATGTGTTTAGATGTACGCAGGAAGTACATCAATTTGGGCGAACTGAGGGCATTGCGGATAATAGTCAAGGCATCATGGGCCGAAAGACAGGAAACACGACCCAGGGCGAATTTAAGCTCAGAGAGCTTTTGGTCAAGAAACTTTATTTGATAATCGCCCTCGACCAAGGGGTGCCTAAAAAACTCAGTTCTGATGCACCAACTCTGGGTATTCCAGCCAGCGCATGTGGCACCTGAAATAAACTTTGGCAGTGAAGTTCGAAGTTCGCGGACAGAGAGTGGGCAAGCTATGTATGTATGTATGTATGTATGTATGTATGTATGTATGTATGTATGTATGTATGTATGTATGTATGTATGTATGTATGTATGTATGTATGTATGTATGTATGTATGTATGTATGTATGTATGTGTGCATGTGTGTATGTGTGTGTGTGTGTGTGTGTGTGTGTGTGTGTGTATGTATGTATGTATGTATGTATGTATGTATGTATGTATATATGTATGTATGTTAAAACCAAATCATTGACGAATGACACCAAAAGCCAAGCGTCTGACTAAATTTGATTTTATTTGCTATAACGTCACTCAACCCCGTCGGCATTCAACTCCACATTTTCCAACACACAGGCGCGCAAAAACCGCTGCAGGATGTACGAGATATTATTCATAGCAAAAAAATATTCTCTACTATCGCCTGACCTAATACTGATATTTTTACAAATTTTACGGTCCATGGGGCCGAGGACCTCGATACAAATCGGTAAAAACTCCATCGAGGGGAGAGCTCCGTCGTACTTTCTGATCTTCTCGTCAGATGCCCTGGTTGCAGCCAAACCGCTTTCTATGCTAGTAAGCTGCAAAGGTGCCCGGAACGGTAACGTCCCACGCCAAGCACCTGCCGGCTCTCCAAGGGATCAAGGTACACCCGTCAGGGCGTTTACCGTCGTGCGCCGCAATGCCCGACGGTTCCTTTAAAATCGGAATTGAGGCCTTGGAGAAAAGTCGGCACACAAAATCGTTTATGGCTGAATGTCGCTGCTGGCGACCTCCGCCCAAACGACAAACAAGACCATGATGGCCAAGTTCATCCGCCTCCGCGCCGCACCTGCATGTATATCGACTCTGAACGGCCAACCCCAGACGGAAGCCAATGGCTGTCCTGACCGTTTCGTCGTCCAATCTGGTACCCACCGACGTATTGGGCAAAGATCTCAGCCAGCCACAACTCGCCTCGCTGGATACTGCCAGCAAGCGAGCTGAGGTCGCCGAGTCAGGGCTTGAGGAAAGCAACTCTTTGAATGTGCGTTTATATGCTTCCTCCAAAATATTGCCCTGGGAAAGGTCTGTTGGTTGGATTGGAGTCGGTGGAGTACAGTGTAGGCTACTAAATTGCCGAAGAAGGGCAGACTGTAGGTCAAGCGTGGCAGATGCGGAAGATTTATAAACAATTGGTGCAAGCTGAACCACGCTTAGTAACCCCAGTCCCCCAAATCGTACCGGCAGCTGAGCCTGAGACCAACCCTTGTCGGTAATATCGACGTTACAAATTGCTGAGAGGGCCACCCGCAGAGCACCCTCAAATTTGCCCAAAATGGCCGCATTAACAAAGTTGGATGTGCGCAAAAAATACATCAATTTCAGCAAACTGAGGGCGCCGCGGATGATTGTCAGCGCGTCGTGGACCGGGAGAAGAGAGACACGTTCGAGGGCAAATCTTAGTTCAAAAAGTTTTTTATTAAAAAAACCTGTCCTGATGATCGCCGGCCATCATTGGAGTGCCTAAAAAATTTAATGATGGATGGGGCACTGTGGGGACATTAGCCAGCACGTGTGGCGTTTGAAACGTGTCATTTACAAGTAGTTCACACTTGTTTGTGTTTAATTCAAGACCAATGATGGAAGCGCCGACCCTCAGCGACAGGAATTCGTCCGCTAAGATGTTACCCTCTGCGGCCAGCTGACATCGTCCAGGTAGCCACAAACAAACGCCGAGGATGACTTCGTCAACAGCGGGTGAAGGGTTAGAGCAAAAAGCATCGGTCCCAAAGGGTCGCCTTGAAATCAATCTTCAAGAATCCCCACCGTTTTGGAAGTGCTGAAATCAGTTCACGTACGGCGTGGACGGCCGCCTCAGCACCACCTTTCACACCGACGCCCAATTGGATAGGATAGAGTTTGGCTTTGACCTGTTCCAACACTAGCGCCAGAGCGCACTTGCTGGCCAACCTCCTCCAGAAATTTCTCACCGCGATGGGTCTGATCTCTTCATCTTTTTTGTTTAAAGCCACCAGACGGCCCCCAAAAAAGAAACGGCTAACCGCGGGAGGGCAGACCCCAGATAACAACAAATTTACAAACCGGGTGAGGTTATTTAACAATTCATCGGTGGGTGTCAGACCGGAAAGTAAATCCTTTATGTGCTGAGGCCTCAAGCCATCAAGACCTCCCGATGAACCATTATTAAACGACTTTAAAGCCGTCAACACCTGGGCTGGTGAAACGCGACCATTGGACGGCTCCTGCGCGGGGAAAGCTCGCCTGTTCAATGGAGCACTGGGATGAATAGCTTTGAGTTTAGCGAGTGTCTCAGGCGAGCTCTCCGCCAGGCCTGCGGGCGAACAAGCAAGTCTGACGGCCGCCGAGAGACTGCCCTGTTCAATCCGAGTGGTTACTGCGCTAATCCAACTGTTTGGATTGTGCTTACGCGGTTTGGTGTTGTGGTCAGTGTTGAAGCTTGCCACAATAATCTCGACCTCGGTCGAACTGAATTCGGCCAACCGTTTAATAACGTAATTGGCTTGATTAGTCCTGCGACCGCCCCTGGTGGGCTTGAACAAAACAAATGCGAAAAAACATTGGAGCCTGCACCAATGGGCCGCGTCGCAGGGATCATCGCAAACGGCCGTCAATAAAGCCGACAATGCTTTAGATACCTTGTCTCTGCACGGTTTGGGAACGTGATCATACAGATGGGCAGTCCTCAAAACGACCGTCAGCCTGTCAAAAACATGAAAAGAATCCACTTGGGAGGGACTCTCCGAGACCGACGCAGAAGAACCGCGTGTAGCAACATGAGGTTTGATGACAGGTGCAGCGATAAGAGGCGGTCGCGCGGAAGCAGATGAACCCGCCGGAGGCTGGTCGGCTGCCTTGAACGAACCAGGGCATTCCTGGCCCTTCATTTTGCCTCCATGTCGATATAGTTTACCGTCCGATTTTATTTTATAATGATTTAAACAAACCGTGCATTGGTATAGGACCGGTGCCATTACGTCAACGAAATAAAATCAAAAGCGTGTAGATAAAACCGTGTGAACAGTGATAAAATAAAATAAATAAAATTGTGGTGAAAATAAAAAGGTTAATTTAAATAAATTTAAAAATTAAAAGGTATGTATGTATGTATGTATGTATGTATGTATGTATGTATGTATGTATGTATGTATGTATGTATGTATGTATGTATGTATGTATGTATGTATGTATGTATGTATGTATGTATGTATGTATGTATGTATGTATGTATGCATGTATGTATGTATGCATGTATGTATGTATGCAGGTATGTGCGGCATTATTTTAGTGTTGGGTGACTGTGGGGATTTGAATTGCGTGTCAATTGCAAAAAAGAAAACACCTCGAAACCTCTTGAGTGCACCACCAACGGTAAATAATTTTTTAGATGCACCTTTTAACTATTTCAACATTATGTTTGTGTTCGTATGTGTGTGTGCGTATGCGTGTGTATGTATGTGTGTGTGTATGTGTGTGTTTATGTGTGTGTATGTGTGTGTTTGTCTGTGGTGTTTGTGTTACTAAATTTAATAAACTGAACAGAAACAAACCTTATTGCCCTGTATTATAATTCGTTGATTGGCTCTGCCTTCTTTACTTGCGTCAGATGTGCTTACATCAGATTTATGCCATAAAATTTGAACTCTATTGTTATCTTAATCAGAATCATCATCATTATCATCTACACTGGAAAAACCAAGATCATCATCATCGTCATCGTCTATGTTTGGAAATCATTATCATCACCAGCCGAAACATTGTCATTCTGTTCATCGTCACGTCATTTAATAACATCACTATTATTAATAATATTATTTCATGCTGATCCGAATTAAAATGGACAACGTCAGAGCAGTGACCAACGGCGATCATTCACATTCGCCCTTCAAATCTGCTCATTTGGGAAAGAAAAAGTTTACCAATTCTCCTGCAAAGATTTGGAAAGATTACCTACCCGCCAAGATGAAAAGTAACATCATAATTATTCCTTAAACATCTTCATGATTATTCCTTAAACATCTCCATGAATATTCCTTGAACATCTTTCGGTTCATCAGCTGCACGCAGTTAAGGAGTGCCTCATAATTTTGTTCACAAAAACCTCCTTTAAACCCTGGATACCTTACGATATCATATTTGTCGTTTTTCATTATAACCAAAGACTGGCTAACACACACACAAACACACACACGCATAATATCAACATACACACAGACACACACACACACATTTTATTCATATTCTTTAATGCAAATCTCATTTCAATTTTATTTAAATGCTCTTATGTTGGATGAAAATTTTTCCAAAAAAAAAAAACTTTTTCCCCGTTCTAACAATAAAACACAACCAGATGAACGATGATGATTGGCAGATAAAAATAGCGATTTTAATTAAATTTTTAATCCACATACAACAACTGCAACAACAATTATTTCAACGAAATCATCAAAACCAAACAACCTTGTCAAAAACATCAATATAACTACATCAAAAAAATCTCATTAACATTAACATGCACATCAACAACACCAATCTTAACAACAACGGCAACATCAACATAACTGCATGCAACATTGCCATCAACAATTTAACTTCAGAAACAACACTTCAGAACACCACCAACACAGTAAAAATAAAACAAACTAAAATTTGTTCGTCTTCACAGTACATAAATGTTTTATCTTTACTTTGTTGTTGCTGTAATTGAATTATTATTTTTATTATTTGTTTCATTTCTTCATTTAAACTCTAATTTAGACATTTCTAGGAGGTATTATAGCAACAAACAGACATTGTACGTAATCAACTAATCACATGCATTGCATGTTGTAAGCGGGGATCTCTTCACATTCACATTCACTTGCTATTGTCATTGCAGTTAGCTGTGTCAGACATCAAAACGCATACAACAATAGTAACAACAATTACTTGAGCAATAATAACAACAACAACTAATAACAATTACAACAACAATAACATCAATAACATATACAACAACAGTAATAACAACAATAATAACAAAAATGAAAATAGCAACAACAGTAACATCAATAATAACATCACAAATAACAACAACAATAATATAAATAACAACAATAACGAAGCAACACCAGAAGCAGTAAATCGTATAAATCCCAATTGGCTTGGCGGAAAATAAGTGCTAACGGTTGCGTTCATTTAACATTAGTCGCGTTTAACGAAAATTATTTTATTTATGAAAAATACTAAAAGTAATATTAAAAATAAACAATAAACATAATAAAAACAAATTGATAATTAATAATTTTTATTCTAAATACCTAATTCACAGCCATTGTAAATATAAATAGCGGGTGATGTGATGTAACTATAGAAATCATGACGTAAAGCAAACAGAACAGGATCGATGTATAGAGAAGACGTGATAGAATACCAATAAAGTGCGACTAACTTTTAATGTGTTGCACAAAAATTAGTTGATTCAAATGATACGTAGTAAGTTTCATAAGTAGAGATGCAGCGAAGAGTGAATTTGGCCAAAAATCTTCATTCATTGTTTTAGAATACAAAAAGTTTCTGGTTTATACAAAAAATGGCCGAAGGTAGATGTCAAATTTCTGCCAAATATTCTGGTCGTACTAACTAATTTTTGAATAAAAAATGAGATATCTCTACATTGAACTTATTCATACCTCAATGACATTTCAACTGCTTTAAATCAAAAAATTTGTATCATACTCTCAAATAATTGTTAGTCATTTGCTCAATTTAAAGATGCCAACTTAGTGAATCTTGGAAACTTAAAAAAAAATTGACAACGTTTGAACTTTAAACGATTTCTACAGCATGTTTGTTATTAATTAAATTTCAATTTCATGTATGTAAATATATTCTGGCAGCTGTGATATCATTAATGTCGTCAAGTTTTTCTTCATCATCTCAATGTCAACGTCATCAACTTTTATCATCATCACAAATAAAATCATTTTAGTCACTCTGTATAAATTTTAAGAACAGTCATAATTTTATGATAATCGGCGCATAAAATTTGCATCCGTCATATAGTACACTGCTAATACTATCTAATACATCCTAACTATCACCATTAACACCATTCAGCTATAAATTCTTGTTTTCACAACCGAACAGAATTATCATCACAGTCATCTTGCTACTACCGACACAAAGTTTTATTTTCACCTTAAAAAATTTTCACCATCTCAACAACTACCAAAAACATCACCATCACTACCAACACAACAGAATGTCACTAGACTTCGACAACAGAGTAATTCTGAATGTCGGCGGTATCAGGCACGAGGCCTACAAAGCGACCCTCAAAAAAATCCCTGCCACAAGATTGAGCCGACTAACTGAGGCCCTGGCGAACTACGACCCCGTCTTGAATGAATACTTCTTCGATAGGCACCCTGGCGTGTTTGCTCAAATTTTGAATTATTACCGAACTGGTAAACTTCATTATCCCACAGATGTCTGCGGCCCTTTGTTTGAAGAAGAGTTAGAGTTCTGGGGTCTCGATGCTAATCAGGTTGATTTGTTGATTGGTGGTTGTGTTGAATGATTGATAAGTTAATGAGTTATTTGATTGGTTGGTTGGTTGACTGACTGACTGATAAGTTAATGAGTTATTTGATTGGTTGAATGATTGATTGATTAGTTAATGAGTAATTTGATTGTTTGGTTGAATGATTAATAAGTTAATGAGTTAATTGATTGATTGGTTGATTGAATAGTTGCTAGATGATTGAGTTGATTTTTTGATTGGTGTGTTGAATTATTCAATGAAATAATGTTATTTACATATAACGTTTCAAGTGGTTTTATGATTACGTATGTCTGCAATATAACTTATAGGCAGAAAATTAGATTGTCTGCAAAATACTGAATTGTTTTTACTATACAGAACTAAATAAAAACTTTTAAATGAAGTCTTTTTTAACTTTACAGAACGATATGTTAATGCAGGGGTTGGCAAACTACAGCCCGCGAAGCTATTTTATGCGGCAAGTCAGACATTATGACCAAAAGGAAGGAGCCAAAAATCTTAAAAAAATCTCCCCCAGGTTGAAAAAATTTGCTATTCAAAAACATGTGCGGTCCTTCAAAGGTAAAATAGATTTCAATGCCGCCCTCACAGCGAAAAGTTTGCCCGCCCCTGTGTTAATTAATGATTGGTTGAGGTGAAGTTCGAATCAAACTGCGAAATAAAAAAATAGATAATTAGTAGATGAAGAATGATTTCATGAATATAAACGCTTGATAAAAATCAAATTAAATAAAAATAATTAATAAATATAAATAAGAATAACAATATTGGTGATGTTTCTTCACCAAGCCCTCACGTGTTAGCATAAATGGCCTTCACCGACAGAAGTGAATGTGCTAATATTTTAATTTTATTTTAATATTATGATTATAATTATTATTTAATATTATTTATCAATATATATATATATATTTATATATTATATATATATATATTAAATAGTTAAAATACTAATATAATAGATAATCATATATGGAGTATCATTTTGTTATAATTTCATCGAAAACTTGTTTTCAAAGATCTATTTAAAGATATATTTTCCTGAAAATAATACTCATAAAATAATATTTATCAAATTTTTTTTTATTAAACTTATTTTCAGCTATTAAGTTTGTAATTTCATCATCATCGTCATAATCATCATAATCATATATATATATATATATATATATATATATATATATATATATATATATATATATATATATATATATATATATATATATATATATATATATATATATATATATATATATATATATATATATATATATATATATATAT